ATTAAATTTTCCCCAAAACCCCAAAACCCCTAAAACCCCTTATTAATAAATTTTTGTTGCATATGAAATAAATCATAATAATTATAATTAATATTTAAGGTTAATAGCAAATGGAGAAGGTTAATGACTTTCAAAGTTCTGAATATTGGGGAAAATTTAATCGCCCTAAATCAAGCTTTGAAAAAAAGATATTTTTTGTAGTAAGTAGCAGAAAGATGATTAATCCTATTTGATTAATGGTCAAAAATCCAAGTAATTAAATGCTGATTCTTTTTATAGTAATAATTCGTTGATTCACTTACGAGACACAGAACTAAAAAGGAGGGTAATAATTGGATTATAAGAATTTCTACTAAACTACATATATTATAGAGAATAAGAAGGCGTATAAAGATATCGAAGAAACTAGAATAAAAGAGGCAATGATCTTAAATGAAGTCTATGATTTTTCACTTGGAACTATCAATTATTAAGTTATCGAAGACAACTAAGTAGAGAGACAGTATATACCAATATTCCCAGACTTTTACAAACCACATGGATTCACAAAAGAAAGGATAAAGGATGTTTAATTTAAATTCAAATTGCAGGAGTAAGTATAAACTTCTATTCGATTCCATTTAATTAATATTTTCATTTAGAGATCGATTCAAAAACCTAACTGTTGAAGGTCTTAAATACAAAAACTTGCAAGTATCATTTACCCATTTGGCTGATGATAACAAGAGCACGCAGTATTCTCTGGATATTAAGATTGATTAAGTCTCAAAGATTTCAGGATGCTACATTGACAATGACGTTGTCTAACTGATCTTAACACTCAAGAAACCTTGCAGAGTCTTTGCTAAACTGCCTAAAATTGATCTTAGAGATTCTAAATGGAAGGAGGTGAATTCCCCATTTACTTTTCTTTAATAGGACAAATAGTTTATGACTTATTGGAATCTGAAGTAAGTCATATTTCTTCAGGGCAAATTTGACCTTGCTATGAATCTGGATGAGCTCCAAACAAAATTTAAAGATCTGGACAGAGGTACAAAGCTTAACTTCCAAAATAATTTCGACATGAGAGTACTTTAAGATATGAATCTCTACCTTGAGCATGAAAAACTTTTGCAGAGAAACTAATAATTCTTTGAACTTATTAAGCAACTAATCATTCCTGCCAAATTCGGAATTATGTCAATCCTATCTACTCAAAAGACCTCTATATTTTCAGATCACCTGAATTAGCTAATGGAAAATCTACTCAATAGGAAATTTAATGGAGAATACCTGTTTAAAGCATCTGAAGATGAGTTCACTCTTGATTACTTTATATAGCCAGGAAATATACAAGCTCATAAGGAAGTGAGAAAAGTACTCTATATAATGGATTAGATTTGTAATTCAGTGAAAGTAAGCAAAAATCCATTTAAATTTGGAAATAAGCAGAGAAAATGGAAAATGCAAAGAACAAGCATTCTAGATGCATTTTAGCATTTTGAAAAAAACTCAGATAGCTTATAAAAAGATATTGAAGAAGAGTATCAAGACTAAAATGACTTGAAGCAGAGAAGAGTGTATCAAACACCTACTTTGACTTTATTCCATTAAAATTACAAGGAACAAACTCACAGAGTACTAAGATACAATCATCTCTACAAAGACTTTTTCTTCAGATTAATCTTAGTAAACGATGACGGTGAAAAAACACACTTTGGAAACTTTAAGGGAAAACCCGTTTTGGAAAAAATGAAGGATATTATGAAAGACTAGTTTTACATTGGAGGTACTAAAGGATAAGTTCTAAACTATTCAAATTCTCAATTGAAAAATCATTCAGTTTGGATGCTATGCGATACGAACATTCCAGATATCATCAAAGAACGAATTATTTACTAACTTGGAACCTTCAGCAAGGATGAAGGATATCTTAAGATGTTTGCTCGTATTGGACAGTGCTTCTCAACAACGAAATATGTTTGCAGATTGAATGAGAAGGAGAATGTACGATACATAGATGATTTAAAGGTGAAAAAGACTGATGATAATGAAGATAAAAATGGGTTTTATTGTTACACTGATGGCTGTGGAAATATTTCAGAGTCTCTTTGCAATAAGATAGCGGAGTCTCATAATCTCGAGAAGTGTTCAGCTTTCTAAATCAGACTTGGAGGCATAAAAGGAGTACTTATGAAGAAAATATACTCAATGTAAGATGGCGGGATCTATGTTGATGAAAAAAATAAGTTGCAAGGCGATATGGTTGAGATCAGACCTAGTTAGATCAAGTTCAAATGTGATTAATGGGATTTAGAAGTAATTAGATGCGCAACTTTCAGTTAGGGCTATCTTAATAGATAAGTTATATTACTTTTGAATTGTTTGGGAGTTCCTGAGGACATATTTATTTCATTACAGAAGTAGTAATTAGAGAATTTGGATGTTAACAAAGTTATGGAGGATTTGCATAGAAGGTATGATTCCATTAAATGTTTTATTTCTCATTAGGTCCCATGTGTTCTTAATGAATAGAAGAAAAGTTAAAAGCAGTAGCAAGCAATCACAAGAGCTTTCATAAGAAATTGATCTATTCTTTGGACCAAGTAGAGTGTTCTCTGCAGTATTTAAAAATGCTCTATTAAAAAGTGTCACTCAGTATCATAAATTCAAGGAAGAAAACAAAGATGATAACTTGAACTTTGACAGAAAAGTATTTAGAATGGAAAAAGAGCCAATATTTTAAGCTATATTGCAGAATATGGTACTTGGATTGGCTGTGAACTTGAAGAAGAAGGCCAGAATTAGAATAAAGAACTCTTGTGTACTAATTGGTGTCATTGATGAAACTGGCTCACTCAATGATGGGGAAATCTTTGTGAAAATAAATAGAAGCAGTTATGATTTAGATAATGCTTAGGACATTATTAGCGAGGAACTTGATAAGAATTATGACAATATGACAAAAAACACAAATGCCTAGGTCATTTTCACTTACGAAGATTAACAGATTTCAGGAAAAGTTATTGTAACTAAGAATCCCTGCAGTCATCCTGGAGATATAAGGTTACTGACTGCCATTGGACCAGAAGATGAGAGATGCTAAGTATTTGAGGAATTGATAAATGTTATTGTATTTCCAAGCAAAGGATATAGACCAGAGTAGCACAAAATGTCAGGCGGTGATTTGGATGGAGATGTTTACATGTGCATCTGGGATGATCAAATTGTCTCGCAAATCCCTGAGAGTTGCTGTAAAACTGGTTAATGCACTCGCCAGGAAGGTATCCAGCCTCCTGCAGTATACAAGAAATTTGAAGAAGACAGCAATGTAAATAGTGATAATATTGTAGATCACATGGCTAATTACTTCGAGAGAGACAACCTTGGTCATTTGGCTCACTTACATCTCGGTTTATGCGACTAGGAAGGTGTAAAAGGGCCTTTCCGACAAGAGATGATTGAACTCTCTTGGTATATGTCTATAGCAGTAGACTTTGCCAAGCATGGTAAATCAGTTGAACCACATAAGTATCAGCATATCGAAAGAAAATTGAACTAATGGCCTGATTTCATGGAGAAGCATGACTAGTTTAGAAAGACTGTTCAATCACCATTGGTCCTTGGGAAGCTATATAGAGCAGTTAATTGTAAGAGCTTTTATCGCAAGTTGATGGAGTATGACTATGAAATGTCTATCTTGCTGAAATATGAGTTGAATGAGACTATTATTAAGAAAAGAGAAGAAGATTAAAAAACATACTCAAGAGATTTCATCAATTACCTCATACCAGCATTTGATAGAATAGTAGTACCTTTAAAGGAAAAGCTAAGAGATCTAATGGTAATGTACAATATTGCTCACGAATCTGAGCTTTTTTGTACAAATCTCACTTTCTCTCTTAATGATGAAAATATGGATAAGATAGTTGGAGACCCAGGCCAAAAAGATGAAGATGCTGTAAGAGCTCTAAATCATAGATTGCAAGAGTATCTCACCTAATACAAGAATGAATTCCAAAAATGTATCAAAGACCTTGAATGTGTTCCAGGTATATTTGCTAAAGCTGTGTATTATGCTACCTATTATAATGAAGACAATATCCCATATCAATAGTTCTCCACTGCATAGATCTGGGCTAAATCTGATAAAACTACTTAGAACTTAAAAGATTTGTTGATTAGATTTGAGGAGCACTGGAAAGCTCATATTAGTTAAGAAATGAGCTCAAGACACTTAAAAATGCAAGAAGCAATAAAAGACTTTAGCCACTACAAGAAGGTTTTAGAAAAAGACACAAAATCCTCAAAAGATAAGTTGAGGCTGCTTTTGGAAGTTAGATAATTCTTTAGCATCCCATGGATAATTTGTCATGAATATCTTATAGATTGATCGCAAAGGATATTCTTATTGGACTAAATAGATAAGATTTAATTTTCTGATGTATATCATTTTTTAAGAAATTAACTAAAATTAGCCTTACGGGGTTTTGGGGTTTTGGGGTTTTGGGG